AATATCTCATTAAACCAGCTGTTAAGTGATTATCAAGAAAGGAGAAACCTCTATAAAAAGATACTTCCGTAGCTTTTGATGCTGTGGGCCATTGATAGTGAAAGGAAAATACCACACCTTAAATAACAGAGATCAACTATCTTCATCTCACTTCCTACATCCAACTTATGTTCTGAGGTCCAAAAAGTCCTTTTAAAACTTTTAGTCTAGGATAATGAATTATAATAATCCCCTCTTGTTACTATGTGCAGCTCACTACCCTTCCATAATTTATATAATTTATATAGCTCTATATTACAGAAATACTAGCACAAAACAATACTGAAGTCTCTTTATCGAACTATTGCATTCAGCCAGATTAAAATTTGCACAAATGTGTTTGAGCCAGCAATTTCACTTACAATTCTTCATTTCCTGTTCTGAGCTGGTTGTATCTGATGTTTTGTGTCATTAAACCTTTGGAAGAATTCCTCCCAGTAGTGGATGAATTTCTGTTGTCTTCTTACTCAGGGTCCAATCCAAAGTCTATTGAAGAGAATTTGAATCTTTCCACTGGCTTCAATGGGCTTTGGCTTAGGTTCACTTCAATGTATATGGTAATATCTCCTCTAAATAATGTACGAGCCTTCTAATGGTACCACTCTATTCTGTGGCTGAGAAGCAGCCAGAAAACACAGCAACAGTATGTGTGTAGCTAGGTTAGGCACGTGTATGTATAATTAGTAAATACAGCTATTTGTGTCCCAATTGTGCCTGTGTGATTTTTTCATATCATTGTGGTGGTGCTGGTGCTGGTGCTGGTGCTGGTGTAAAGAGCAAAAGACAGAACATTCAAACAATTTTATCTGAGTAAAGACAACAGGTTCTGGCTTTGGGATCCTTCAGGAAGAATCCTCTATTTAAATGTGATGTATAACTAGCTTGCAAAGAAGCTCTTTGGCTCCTGTTTAGATAGAATTAATTTCAATTTAGATTATCTTTTGCAAATAATATGATTAGTTAAACTGTTTATCTAAGCATCTGTATACCGTTCCCAGCAGTCAGCTTCTTTCACTGTGTAAATTTGCCAGAAAGAAATATGCATTCCTGATGCCAGAGAAGCACATACTGGTTTAACATTCAACTGGGGGGTTTCACTTTGGGATTTTCTTAATAAATCTATTTCCTCCATAAACACTGTGTGGGTTAAGACTAAAATGCTTTCGTCAAACGTGAGCCGAGGTCTTCTGAATAATGGGAATTCATTTTATTTTTTGATTGAAATAGAAACCTTTTTTGATAATTCTGCAAATGATATTAGTCTGAAAACTGACAGTTCTCTTATCAATACATGTTTTCTTTTGAGTCAATGTACATTTATTAAATATATAGAAGCCCCAGTTATAGACAAGGACCTCATTGTGCTAGGCACTGTACAAACTGAAATTCAACTTTTATATTAACTACACATATTTTAGTCTTTCTTTACATTTAAAATTTTTGTACAGTTCATCAACATCGCTCAAGGTTGACCATTCCCTAGCAGTTAATGACTGACTGGAGAAAGTGAGAATTTGGGATTATTCCATCAAAATGGGACCTGAGTTGCAAGATACTTAAGCATGTATCTAATTTAAACATTGATTACCATGAGCTTGCTTACAAATTTAAAGTTAGGCATGTGCTTAAGTGTCTTGCTGAATGAGGACCAGAATAGTGGAGGGGAAAGTGTGGGGGACAAAAACCTTCAAGAATATTTGAAGAAATTCATGAATTGCTTGGTACTACTGTAAACCAAAAAAAAAAAAAAAAAAAAAAGGTTTCACATCTCAGATTAGACATGTTTTGTTTTCACCTGCAAAAAAGAAGCTTCATAATCTGTGATAATTAATCTGTACATTGCATGTGCAAACTGCTTTTTTTTCCTCTTCAACCCCTCAATTGGTGAAGCAATGTTTCTGTGCTTTAATTAGACAGTAGAAATCTATGAGACTGCCTTCATTTGGCTTTCAGCTGTTTACTTTGTGTCAGTAAAATCCATACACTTTAAAGGAGATCTCAACTATAATTAAAAGTGTTATTGAACTAAACACAATTACCAACGTTTATCTCATTATGTAATGCTGCTGGCACCAGCATCGGAATTCAGACTGGTTTTCTTTTTGGCATTCTTGTTAGGCATTTTTTAAATGCTTTTAATACAATTCAGGTAATGACGATCACTGCTTCCAAGTCTTGAGAACACTCTGCACTCCTGAAGTTGAGCTGTTCAATCTAAATTCTGAACACCATAAAACTGTAAAATTGAAGCCATTCAGTTTTCCCCCTATTACTTCTCAAATTGGAATTTGAGTTCCTGGATACTTAGGTTTACTAAAAAAGGGGGAGTGGGGGCATGATTTGCTTTTTAATATTCCTAAGTAAAGACAAAATGTGAAGCAGTATCAGATGTACTAAGAAGTAGCTTACCCCATGCAGAAGGCCAGTACAAAGTCAATGCATCACTTAAGCCCTACATTTAGGACAGAGGTAGAAGACAGGGAGAATGGCAGGCAAGAATTTCCTCAAATCTCTTTCAGTGGTAGTAATCCTCCTTGGTGTTACACATCACAATAGGTAAGAGCAATTCAGACATAGACAAATAGTGGTCTTCTAAACACAAAGTGCTAGATTCTCAAACTGTGTTATGATCCTTTGGAACCAGTTAGGTGTCTAGAAGGATTAAAATCCACAAATTCCTAGCAAATAAATATCTCTGATGTAGATAAACTCCCTTTTAATGCATTTAAATTGCAATCAGTCTCTTAACCTTTTTCCCTCCCCAAACAGTAGGAGCCGTAGCAGAGCTCTATTCCACCCAAAGAACCCTCTAATGATTTAGCATCCAGTAAGGATGCTTCATGACTTGCAAAAGATAGAACTACCTGGAATCTGTATTGAAGCTAGGTCTGAGAATCAACGAGCCAGAAGCAGCTATTGAAGCCACTCCACTATACTAAATGAAAACAAAAATCAAATCCATAAAATGAGCATTTTTATGACTAAATGTTAGTATACTCTTTAATTATAGGGTTCAGACATTGTTAAGATGATTGTCTTTGAAAGTATGTGGTCTGATTTTCAGAGGTACTAAGCACTTGCCATTCTTACTAACTTGAGGGCTAGCCCCAGTTTCTCAATACCTCTGGAAATTAAACCATTGGTATTCTAAAATAATTGTTAAGGTGAACAGAAATGCCACTTAAACATGTATTATTTGGGATTGTCTTGCAACAGCAAGGCAAGGTACCTGCTATAATTTTTAGCCGTAACTCAGAAAATAGTATGAAGCTGGTTTAAAAACAAGCAAGAGTGCAGCCACATTCTATGCCAGACTAGAATACAGAATTCAGGAGACAACACACCATTTAAAATAAATTTTAAATCCCAACTCTTCCTACAAAAGAACATAAAATCTATTAATTTTGTAGCATGCAACCAAAGCAGTGGGTTTTCATTGGACATAAATGCAACTGTTTCTGCAAATATTCTCAAAATTTTTACAGACACTAAATATAACCAAATACAATGCTTGCTAAAATTCAGTGAATTAAAATGAAATGTCATCTCTTGGAACCCGATTCGGCAAAAACTTCCACACATGCTTACCTTTTCACACTTTTATAGTCAGTCGTATGCAAAGTTTGGTATTTCCATTCATCTTTGCAGGATTGGGCACTTTGAGCATATTTAGTAAGTGAAAAATAAGGCTAATCATCTGAAGCCAGGGAAGTCTAAAGGGAAGTGCAATCTCATTATAACAGTGTTAAGATTCAGGAAATAGTGGGAGGGAAAATAAGAAAAGAAGAATCTAATCATTTTTCCTCTAGAAGTTGCTTCCCAAGGGCAAAATGAGAGCCAGGAAGCGAGAAAAAGATTGAACACGCACTAAAGATATATGTTTTCTCAGTATATAAAAATGTAGCTTTGTTATTCTTTTATTTTCCCATCACTCAAACACGTCTCCTCTTACAGTAAATGTAAATTACAGTAATGAACATTATTTGCATCACTCTAAGCCAAGCAAAAGTTCGAATGCTCTCTAGCATATTAAATTTAGGAATGAAACTTCCCACTTTGATATATGAAGAATTGTGTTTCCCTAAGGAAGACTTCCCCTCCCCCCCCGCCCCCCCCCATCAGGGCATCTACCGTATTTTAGACTTCATATCTTTGGTTTTGGTAGTAGTATTTTAGTGTGGTTTTCATAAGTTTTCTTTCTTCTCCAGCATTCCATTATTCCCTGTTGAATTACAAAATATGTTTTACTATGTTACTGTTCATTTCACACAATTTTTTTCTTTGCTCTATTAATCCAAGGTGGAGATTTAGTCTAAGCCCATTGAGGGATTGTGAATTCACTGCACTAATTGAAGTGTTGATTAAAAACTTCTTGCTGGAAAATGAAGGCTCATTTGAGGCATGCCACACAATTTGGCTCTGTTTGGGGACCAAAAGCCTCATTAAGAAGGATCTGTATTAGCTATGCCTTGTGGAGAGGAAAAAAAAATCAAAAGAAAAGGAAAATAAAAAAGATCAAATCTTATACTGACTCTAGAAATTTGAAGACATACCATATCATCATAACTTCATAAGCCTGATAAAACTTAAAATAAAGAGACTCATATTAAATAACTGAATTCTTTGGAAACTATCAGATTAAGTTTGACAACGTGGTCTACAATTTCTAACAGGTAACAATACAGATCAGGTATTCACAGTGGATCTTTCCACTTCTTCACTCTCCTCTCTCCCTGCTAATGTATTGTCAGCATGTCATTCCCCTCTCCAAATAAGATTTTGCTCTCCAACCTGGGGCCTAATTCTCTTATTGTCTGGGAATTTTATTGACCTAACTGACAGGATAATTAGCCTTCAGGAGGTCTGTGTGAAGATGTCAGGAAGGTCAGCAAAACCAGGGATTACCAGAGAGAGCGACAAGAGAAGGGTAGATAGGGTAGGGTTATGCTTAGGTAACATGAGACAAGGAAGACAAAGGTGAGAAGAAATGGAACTAGGGAGAATAGACCATATGAAGGGAGAATAACGGGATAGACAACACAGTCCAAATAGAATAATGGCAAATAACAACATAAAAGGATATGTTGCTTTTCAAATAAACTGACGGTGAGAGACAGGTAAACAGAGAAGATCGTGTTATGCGAGATACAAAAGTAAAATGGTATTCACATAAATACGATTCCTGGGCTCCAAGGCCAGAAGGGACTACCGAGATCCCATATAACAAAGGCCACAGAACTTCTCAAAATAATTTCTTTTAAATGAGAGCTTTTTAAAAAAAAATCCAATCTTTATTTAAAGACTGCTTCTGATGGAGAATCCACCTCAACCCTTGTTAATGTGCTCCAACACTTAATTATCTCACTGTTAAAAATATGTCTTATTGACTATCTGAATTTTACTAGCTTCAACTTCCAGCCACAGGATTTTATTATTCCTTTGTCTGCTAGACCAAGAAGCCTGTTTTCAAACATTTGCTTCCCATCTATTATTTACACCAGATTACCCCCTTAACTTTCTATTTGTTTAGATAGATGGAATTCCTTGCATCTAGCATTATTAGTCAATCCTTTAATCATTTTCTCAGCTTTTCTCTGAAACTCTCCACTTTATCAACAACTTTCTTTAATTGTTCAATGTTCCAGCCATGATACCGTTAATGTTGTATAGACACAAAACAACCTCTCCACTCCTACTTGAGATTCTCCTTTTTTATGCATCCAAAGAAAGATTAGCCATTTTAGCGCTGCTAGTATTCAGCTGATTATTTACTATGACACCCAAATCTTTTTCAGAGTCACTGCTTCCCAGCCTCGGTCTCATAAGGAAGGCCTATATTATTTGTTTAGAGATGTATATTTTTACTTTTTGCTATTGGTTGATTTCAGCCAGTTTACCAAGTGTCCCAGATCACTCTGCCTCAGTGACCTGCCTGCTTCATTATTTACCACTCCAATATTTGTGCCAGTTGGAAAAAGAAAATCACAAAAACAAAGAAGATAATTACTTGGGTTTTTAAGTATTTAATTTCATAAAATTCATAGATTAGGATCAGATGGGACCATCATGATCATTTAGTCTGATCTCCTGAACAATACAGGTCATACAACCTTACCTGGTAATTACTTCATTAGGCCAATAACTTCTGTTTAATATATATTTATTTCTAATTTAGTGTATTAGTTTTTTCCTGGCAGATGACCTGTGTCTCAGTGCGCTTGGAGGGAGGGAGTGTGTTTAATACTGTCACAAAATCTGGATTCTGCAGTGAAGTAATTGAAGGAAAATACAGATTCACAATCTACCCACTCCAACCAATTAGTCACAAAGCCTCCTGACTTATATAGAAAAGTGTTAATTGAAAGCATTTTCAAATGTTGACAGCTATGTACAGACCCAAAAATAAACAGCAGAGAGAAATAAAAAAAAAATTCAACCAATCAGATTACAGGCAGAATTTGAGACTCTAGGCTGCTTTTCAATAACCTATAATTATTTCTCCATTTCTCCCAGTTCCAACTTCAGTTACTAGTTAGTTCTTCTTTAGGAATGGTCCATATACGCATGCCCTCTATTGTGGCAGGAATCATATTGTTGATGATGTTTGTTGTTAAATAGGGACCCCTTATTTTTGCCCAATTTTTCTGACCACTATTCCAATTTACCTTTTCACTCAGGTGTGAATAGCTAAGTGCTGACACACTCACTTTCATATGTTGTTCTTATTTTATTCATGTAGAAACGTAAATCTTGGCCATGTACATTTCATGGTATTTTTTGCCACCTGTCATGCCCTTTCTTTGAAAATCCATAGGTGCCAATGTAGATATGTTTTACACAGGCTGTAGAAATCCCTACTTGGAGTCAGGATATGTCATGAGAAGCCATATGTTGACATTAGCCAAGATAGGACTCGTTTATGTGATATATTGTACATCTATCCTCAAGATTTCTGCCAGTTAGGAAACATTGAACTATATAATTTATCTTGGTATTCATATACCAATAAGGATTAACTCTTTATTCCTTTACTTTCTATATATTTGAATCACTTATATTCCTTAAGCAGAATGCAGGACTATGTAGCACTTTAAAGACTAACAAGATGGTTTATTAGATGATGAGCTTTCATGGGCCAGACCCACTTCCTCAGATCAAATAGTGGAAGAAAATAGTCACAACCATATATACCAAAGGATACAATTAAAAAAATGAACACATATGAAAAGGACAAATCACATTTCAGAACAGAAGTGTCAAGTTTAAGCATGAATGACAGTTCTGAGGGTGAACCACATATTCACAAAGCTGAACCACATATTCACTCTGCTGATACCATAATTGGACCTAACCAAGTGAGTTATAAGATCAAGAACACATATTCCTGCGCATCCAGAAATATAATTTATGCTATCATGTGCCGAAAGTGTCCGTCTGCTATGTACATTGGACAAACATCTCAGACACTTCACCAAAG